AGTTCCAAATGGCGCTACGCTCGCTCGAGGACGATAGCCTCATCCAAGTGTCCCATGGCATGATCCGCTACTTTGGCGAGTCAATAGACTGAACGAGTGAAAGTTCGTGGACAAAGCACAGAGCGTTGCTGCTACAATATGGCTTCTTGTCTTGCTCGTATGAACGGGGTTAATGCAATGCAGCTCACGTTTGGATCTCCACGACGTCGCTACGGTTCTCCAGAGCGATGTTACGCAGGCTACAAATGCTTCGAGAAGAAGCCCATGACATGCCGCATGTCCTCTTGAGCATCAATCATTGCATGTCCTTTGTGTAGTTGAACCACACTCGTGAACAACTCGGCTGCGGCAATTTCGGAATGTCTGCGCGCAAAGTCGCGACGCGAACGCTGAGCGGGTGGCACCGGGTAGACGTTGTCTGCATCACCAGTGACTTGGAGCATGGGCGTAGCAACGGCGCCTCCTCGTGGATCCGAGCAAGACGACGAATGGGAACCTGCAGCTGCGCCGCCTGCTACGAGCACGACGCCTCCCAACCGCACGTCACGCGGCAAACGTCATTGCCAAGTGGAACGCCACGCACGCTCCTTGCGAGAACGCAAACAGAAACAGCCGAGAGTAGTCCCACGCGTACCGGTCGTGCAGCACGCGCAGGAAGCTCCACACATAGTCCTTCGCTGCCTCAAGACTCTGACTGCGCCGCTCGTGTGGCCTGTCGGAGGGATGACGTCGCCCGTCTCGTCCAAGTCGTCGACCCACGAGCGCCCGAGACCGAACGGCAGTTCTAGAGGAGCACGGAGCGACACGACCGCTTTGTTGCACGGTCACAGCCATTATCAACGGGCGCTCGCACGACGGTGTACGCCGTGGAAAAAAGCACATAGAGACGCACCTGTTTGAGGCAGTGCCATGTGCTCACCCAGTCGCGCAAACGTTTCGTGCGAGTCGCCGCGTCCGTGCAACAGCAGTAGCAGATTCTGAGCCTCTGGCGCGCCATCAGTGGGCTGCACGAGCCTAAAGACAGACCGTTTGTCCGGAAAACGCAACGCGTCCAAGTCGAGGCAGTTGCTACGGCGCGACACTGTCGTCTTGGGACGCAGAGTCACGGGCGTAGACGGTGCGTGGCTGATGCCGAGAGGTGGAAGGTCATGTGAAGCGTGGGACAGCCATCGCGTGCGGCCGTCGGGTCCGCGCACGAGCAGTAGACGCGCCGCCTCATGGACGCGCTCTACTGCAGCGTCCATGACGACGTGCGCTGTTGCGCGGGGCGGTAGTACCGGTTTGTTTCGTGCTGTACCGGTCGCGTGTCGTTGCGCTACTTGCGTCGTACCGGTATGATGGTCCTTGATCCGCATGGGCCGGTGCTTGGCGTCGTACCGGTATGATTGTCGGTCTGACTTGCTGGACGGATCGAGTAGTTGCACTAAAACATACGCGTTGGTTTTGTTTCGTCAGCAATGTGTCATGTATCTCGCTTTGGCGACTTGCTGGGTCACAAAGCCCCGCCGGCCACGAGTCAATTGCGTTGATCCGAAAGAGGTTTCTGGATGCTTGCGAGTCATGGCAGTGCTCGGGTGACTGACGAACGGATTCCTCAGTCGACATGTGCGGTGATGCACTGACAATGTGAAGTCGGCAGTGCTTCCTCGTGACTGGTCATTTCGGATTCCGAAGCTACGATGTCGCCTCTTCACGGCTTTTACAATTGCAATGAGTGCAAACGATCAGGTCTTTGTTGCCCACTCCCTCGTTCTACGTCCATCCTGTTTACGGCTGCAGTTTCCTAGACCTTGAGTAAGCATGCCTGCTCGAAAAATGTGCACATACAACTTGTTGTGGCTACATGCTACCTCAAATAAGGCCAGGCTGCGCCACATGGATGTAGCATCACTCGTCACACCGGAAGAGCTGGCGACATCCATGATGCTTAGCCGAGGTCACAAACAATACGCCACATTCTGAACGCACCCTGCAATGAGCATGCAAGCTCACGACAGGTACTTCGTCTCGTGGTGTTTCTCGACCTACCAGAGAAAAGAACTGGTACCGTACGAGTGATTTGACAGGGGAGTGACCCACTTGGGCAGGTCAACAATCGAGTAATTCACTTGCGCAGGATTTGGGCATGCTACATGAAACAACGAAGGAGCAACAGGGTCAACAAAACGAGCGTGTGACGATGCATTATTCCTTCTTGCTTCACGGGATCAATAGCTGGTGCGAGAGCGACAAACGCTGCTCCTGAATGTATCATCATGGCTTTTTGAATGCCCTGTCATGTTAAGATGGTCCTTTACAAGCGATTTACCGATATTGGGGAACGTTCGGCTAACAATTTTGGAATACGCGGTGCGCGATGACTGCTGCTGCTTTGCTACGGACACGACAGCAGTCAAGCCTACTACATGTCGGACCTTCTCAAAAAAAGACAGCGTTGGAGATCTTGACTTCTTGTATCTCGTCATTAAGTTCGTGTCGTGTTCACCGCTTACAGCCACATTTAAAGCGTTGGGCAAATACCACGTAGCTGGTGTTGCGAGGTAAGCTCGTCCGGTAACATTGATTTGGTTGTAAATATCAATATGACAACTCTCTTAGCGGATAATATCCGACACTGCCAACGTAGGGGAAGTCTGTAGAATCGGCACCTTAGTAGATATATTGACAACATTACCGAACAAAACAATCTCGGCGGGCAATATTTGGACAATAATTCTAGGCCAATATATGGACATTATATTTTGATGAATGATATAAAGGAAATTGAAGAAGATATTCAGCAGCAGCTAACATCACTTTCCTCCTTAGCTATGAGAAGCTATGGAAGCAGCAGACGGACTCACTTGTAATGATAAACGTTTTGAAAGTAATAACTGGTGAATAATTGGTGCTATATTTGTAAGTATAGAGGTACCGTAAAGTTTCTTCCTTGTTTATAGATCTTCAACGTATGTTAAACATACGTTTCTGATCCATAAGAAACGCCCGTGGTTCTTGTGACTTTAAAGCACTATATCTGTTGCGTGTACACAAATAATTGTCGTCAATCAAAAGTGGGAAGTGAAATGTAAATAGCTGCTAGCGTGTTCGATCAGCTCTACAATCCTTAGCTTGACTTCCTGTCGGTTGAGCGCGCACGTATACCTAGCTCTTCATCCAAAGCACTTCCCACGCGATCGAGAGAAGGACACGTCTTTGGTTCATTAATTATTCAAATTTGTAACAATACAGCCTTAACGCACTAGCACAACAATCGCCCATCTATGTCGGAGAAACGGACTAGTACCTAGGATAAACTCCTTCGCGGTTCGCCCCTTCGGTTCTTGCTGTGGTCTTTGCCTGATTGATTTCCGCACCCAAATTTCTCAGAAGACAGACTGAGATCTTGACCACAGGCTAAGCAGTTGCTTTGCAGATATCATGTGAGCTCTATCCCGAGGCTGAACTATGGTCTAGTAGAAATGCAGATCGTGTTGATACAAAGTCTATGATGACAATGTATAAGCAAACCTTAGCAAAAGATTGACGCTCTATAACTCGTTCGTATTTGGCACAATATTCATGACGTCAACAACACTCTCACTGCTGTTGTAGCATAACATCCAGCACTATATACTTTGCGACACCTCTTTTGTTAGAGAAGGGGACTACAACATATGCCGGCGGCCGCGCACGTCTCTATATGATTAAGTTCCTTGGTATCTATGTGATCTATCACGTATATAATTCCTAACTCATAAAACCTGATGCACAAACACATCATGGTACTGAGTTTACAATCGAAAAAAGGATGATTATCAGACAATACCTTCTATTTCACAACTTTCTACGTCAGTTGTGTCTTTGCCATTGTCGTTGCCTGTAACAGATCTATAGGCGGAAAAGTTATGATCTGTCTCTCACCCCACAAGCACACAGCTTTATCACCTAGGACGGGACGCTCTGATCGTCACACTTTGTGTGCAGTGAGGATCAGTGTAATCTGAAGCGGTCGCAAGTCACGCTATTGGTTCTGTATACAAACACTCTAAGTTCTTCGCAGAATCGGGGAGAAAGAGAGCCTTGAATTGCTCCCATCGTATCGTATGGAATCAGATTATTCAACAGAAGAGGGAGGATCTAATGTAGCCTAGGTTCATCGTTATGTGTGGCGGCGGCATCGCGACGCGAAAAACATCTTCGAGTGGCATTTGCCGCGCACCATGTGGCTTCATTGTAACGGGCAACCGATGCCTGTACTGACACAATACCTACCTACACTGACCACAGTATGAGCAGGTGCCACGAAACCTCAAATTTACGTTACTTGCAGATGAAGGTGAGCCTACTAAACGAACACGACTAGTAGGTAGAAGGGAAGTTGATATGCGTTTTATCGATGGCTCATTGCCTTTACCAAGACAAAGCTTTTGTCTTCCTTAGATTGCATATCCTACAAACTTTTAGTATATATCTCCTTTCACCACTCATTTTGCGCGGCTAATGTATATGGCAGAATTGGCGGTTTAGCTGGCTAATATCATAACTAATATCAAACAATGTGATCAGCTATGCAAACTTATCCTTCGACGGCGACATTTCTTCAATACTTACTCAGCAAGGTAAATGTTGGTGGTGGTTCAGATTGTCGATTTCCATAGCTATTTCAACTGTGTGCAAGATCTCTGGTACATCTTAAGCCATGCTTTATCTCTGGCACGTGACCCGGGGGATGACTGTGGCTGGGTCCAGTAAAAACTGGCACTCATGTAGATTCGCGCTGCATCAACTCAATGCATGCATACAGCATGCATATAGCATGGCATTCGAAGTTGCATCGCAACGTTTTGATGCTCTCTTCGTGATCGCACTCAGGTGGAAGACGCAGGTATCCGAATCAAGTTTGTGCTTCCGCGTATATCACAGGATGCCGCTCGATAGACAGCTTCATATCTGTCGTTCATAGTTTCGTATGGTATATTGTTGCAAGTAGATGCCAAAGTTGCTTCCAGACCCGTTCGGCGCTACCACATCATCTTGAAATTTCTCCCTTCGATCTCTGACATTCTCTTCTGTACTGCGTGTACTTGTCGTCTAGCGCATACGACCAATAATTGCAGGGTGCGCTGGCGGGACGCTCGTTTCCCAATATAATGCGGTAATAGTTTGTTCCAAAGAGCGACGGCGTACGAACACATTCAAAGAAAATATTCCACGGTCCTTTCACCGAAAGTCGGTCACAGTGATCCGATAATTCTTTGTGGAAAGATTATCTCCCCTCACACCTTGGTATGCTAATATGCTATGACAACTTTCTTTCTCTTCGCCCAGCATGATACAGATTGAGCTGGCCCAACGAGACCATATGCCTTGTCCGAACTTGATACTCAAAGATGCCATTATCATGGGGCCAAACTCGTCTTAGCGTTCGCAAGATCACAGCGCGCTGCCAATCGTCTTCTCAGCCTTCGCGTCAAGTTGGACTACACATTTCAGCATGGGTTTGAAGGGAAAGCTTGGGCAACGAAGACCTTTGTAACGGACCGATATGGCGTCACATCCGAGACTGACACGGAAATCGGTGAAGCTGTGGATACACCTCGAAGACGAGACCCCATTTCCGAAGAGCGTTGATCGATGTCCAACGTTCTATAGAACAACGAATGTCAAATTGAGGCAGATATCCCTCACAAAACCAGTGTAGACCATCGTACCCTTAAATCACTATCACGGAATGGAAAAATTTCTGTGCGCAGTACGTTGCTAGACATTCAATAACTTCGGTGTCTCAACGCGTTCAGCGATAACTCGCCTTTCATGGTGGCGCTTGCCGGAGTATCAGTGGCTGTCTCGTGTTCCAATTTGTCCCGATTGGAAACTACAATACATATTCGTACAAACCTTTGCGCGCTATGTGTAGCGCTTCAAGCTTACAATCCTGATCCTGGTGTCCGTGCTGATCTCCAGTATCTTTCCTCTGTGATTTCGTATCCATGATTCTCACTACAGCAAAACGTGAATCAAAACTGCTGTATGACGTACGGCATATCGTCCACACTCATTGGGTGTTGAAGAAAGGTCTTGCGATACGAAACCACGAGCTCGTTCTCTACCCACGAGCTGGCGGTTCCCGAAAGCAACGCCTCCCAGGACTGTTGATCTAAGAATTGGCCTGGCAAAAATTCTCAGGTGCTAATGCCATCCATTCCCCACAGCTCTTGCCGCAACAGATGACCTGGTCGACGGTGTCAGTGAGGTGACTTTC